AGTACAATTACTGTATATAATCAATTACATTTATCAATAATTCATTTGATGAAGTTTTACTTTTTTCTATCAATATTTTTAGAATAATTCCTGATGATTTAAACCAAGATATTAGAGATATAAAGAAATGTCCGGATTGTCCACATAACACGATGTTTATATATGACTTTATATTATTAATTGAAGATGAACACGGTTCTACTCTTTCTACACTAGTTAACGGAGGTTCCGCAGTAAGATTCAGGATTTAAAATGTGTACTTTTGTTTATTTATTTATTTTTAACAAACACCGAATAATATTAACTACTATTTTATTTTTATTTTTATTTTTATTTTTAGGTCAATTTTCTAAAAGGACTATTACCATCTAAGTATGTTTATATCACTATACACATTACATTTTCTTAAAAATAGTTATATATTTTTTTTTAATCGATTGGTATATACTTTTTTGCAATCAGAGTTATGGAAGATGAAACTGCAAGAGAAACATTTCGAAAGTTAATTAAAAAGTTATTGAAAAATATTATAGATTATGATAAACCCACAGAATTTTTTTGATTTTTGTGTTGAATCATATTCACCTTCACAAGATCAATCTGAAAGACTTTATAGATTAACTAATACTATATTAGTAATCTAAAAAAATACTGTAATTTTTCTTTTAGATGTGTATATATATACATATATGGTTTTTAGCTGATCGAAAATTATAAAGAAAACCATTCTTTTTTTTTTTTTCTTTTAGTAAAAAGTAGTAATTTTAAAATATATAATTTCAATAAACGATATCGCTTAAACTTAAAAATAGAACTATTTATCTGTAAATCCCAATAAATCCGAATTTGACTAATTACGATTACAGTATTCGAACTACAGTATGTATATGCCTCGCAATTTATGGTCATGCTCTACTTAGCGCTAGGGTGCTGGCACTTTCATATTCTAGAGTCAACATAAGTTTTAATTATTTTATTTTATTGCTCATACATTATGACAAAAAAATATGATTATAAGTACTATATTCTTTACAGTAGTTTTGATTATCTGTCAAATAAAGTTCATTTATCTGAACGTACAGTCCATTTCTAGCTTGACTCAACCAGTAGCGCATAGTATTAATTTTTGAATATATAAAATTTATAACTCATATAAAAATCTAATAAATAATTTAGTCGGGTCGATTTGAATTCAAGAGGATTTACATAGACAACTTCCCGAATCCAATTTTTTTT